CATAGCATTTTTCAGATGAGTTGGAATCTCAGTGGGAAACTGGATGAACTAATGTTGTATCAGATGCCTTTCTCACCTAGATGCTGTGGCCCTATCATCTTGATTTTTCTTCCCTTTCAATTTTGGCATGACTTGCCAGAGGTCAAATTTTTTTCCTCTGTACTTAGAGCTTCTCAGAAAGATAAAAGTGAATCCCCACCCTGCTTTATCTTTTGTATGCAGAATGTGATTGGAATGTGAGCAATGGAGAAAAGTGGGTTGAACATTCACAAGAACATACTGTCTGATTGTCTCCTTTTAGACAAGGGCATCTCTTTTTCCCAAAGGAGTAGTAATAACCCAAACCTAGGACCTGTAGAGATTTTTATTGAGCAACCTCGCCCACAACATATCCTTTATTCTTTCCATTTATCATTCCTTTAACACCTCCTACCTGTTCTATCCCACCTACACACACTTTCTGCAGTGAACACACGCCACTTTAGACATGCTGGATTCTACGTGGCCTCTTGAGTTTTCTGCGTCCTGGACATTCCTTTGCTCCATCATTACTATGTCCAGGGATGCAGCAGAGAAGAGTGGTTAAAATCTTAGACCACCTGTGTTCAAATCCTGCCTCCACCTTGGTCAAATCACCTGTAAAGTGGGAACAGTAATAGTACCGACTTCATAGTTGTTGGAAGGAACAAACGAGTTAATACTTGTAAAGCACTAGAACAGAGCCTGCAATGTAGTAAGAACTCAGTGTTGGTATCCAAATTTAAATTTCTTCCAATCTTCAAAGACCAGATAACACCTTATCTCTTACACAAAATCTTCTCTGACTAGCCTCATCTAACCCATGAAATCTCTTACTCTTCTGAAAGAGTAACACAGTTGATAGTTAATTTACTCAAATAGCACCTTGAGACAACTGCAGAATACAGGCTGCTCTGCCTATGGAGTTGCCGGTCTTTATTCCTTTCCTTGCTTTTCACTTTACTCTAAAAAAGAAAAAAGAAAAAGGAGGAAAGGAAAGAAAGGGAAGGAAGGAAGGAAGGAGACTATCTTGATATTTGGGTTTAAATCTTAAAACAGTAAGTGCTGTGGGACTTTGAGGGAGTTACTTAAGTCTCAGTTTTGTCATCTGTAAAATGGGTATTATAATACCTTGACAGGGTTATTGTGAGGTCCAAGTAAGATAAATGCTTAAAAAGTATCTCATACAGGTCCTGACTCATAGTAGATCCTCAATAAATATACATGCTCTTTCAAAGTATATTATTTAAAATTTTATGGATTGTGAAAGTGTAAGTGCATGTAGGTGGGCTAGGAAAGAACTGCATAGAAAATTAAGATAATATAGCACTGTATATAAAGAAAATTATAATAGTCTCATAAACATCTTTCTGGAGCAACAATTTCCCCAGCCAGTAACTCCTACTCTGGAAACTAAACACAGCTGGCTGTATTCCCTTTAGTTTCTCTCTCTCTCTCTCTCGCTCGCTTGCTCTCGCTCTCGTTCTCTCTTTCTCTTTCTCTCTCTTTCTGTGTGTGTGTGTGTGTGTGTGTGTGTGCAGGCATGCACTCAAGCAGACACGCATATTTAGAAAAGAAAGGAATTCTATTATACACCAATTTTGCAGTCTGCTTTACTTTACATAGACATTTCCCCATCTCATTTAATATTTTTCAAAGTGAGGGTTTTGATGGGCCATATAGCATCCCATGTACATCTAAACAATCTAAATATAACTTATTTAACCATGGCCTCATTGTTGGACACTGAGGTTTTCTTTAGGTTTTAGCTATTCTAAATAATGCTGCATCAAATAGCTTTGTATACGAATATCATAAGTATCTTTGATTATTTTGCTAAGAGAAATTCTTAGGAATAGAAATACTGGGTGAAAGAAAACACATTAAAGGATTCAGGCACATATTGCCAACTTTTGCCTTTCGGAAAGGTTGTATAAATTACATACCTATCAACGGTGACCACAGGTGCCCATCACGTCTCCCTTGCCAATGCTCTGTTGTGTTGTTAGTTAACTTTTTGTCTGCTTTATCTATTATCTTTCAATTTAGAGTGGAATCTTCTTCAGCAGGCACTGTGGTCATCTGCTTCTTCGTACCTGCCTTTATACAGAACATTGCTTGGTGCCATTCACACAGTAGCCCTTGTTAATATTTGCCAAGTGAATGAATTTCTACTCACAACTATCCCTGTGGAGTTAAGAGCTGGAGAAGACTTGAACAATCACTTTCAAATTGGTCAAATTTGAAAGAGAGAGGTTTGTAGAGTTGTCCTTGGTCTCCTAGTGAGATGGGTTAGGTAGAAAACTATTAAATCACAGGTAGTTGGCCGCTGTTCAGGGGACTTGGACAAGGGAGTGGGTCCAAGAGAGAAAAAGGATGTTTTTCAGGGTCAGCTCTGCAGCGGGTTTGAAACTGACTTTCTGCACTGCTGTTCATTCTTTTTTCATAACAGGGTGTGGGGAGGGGCGGGATCTACTTTTTACAACTCAGCCATGTAGCAGAATGAGTGGAATTTTCCAGATGGTTCCTCTCGATGACTGTTGGCATAATGGCAGTTTTTCCCCCTGGGAGCCATTGGGCTGCAACCCCTGAAGCCTAGACAGCAGTTTCAGCAGGTCAGATTGTGGGATCCGTGTGTTTTTGTTGGCACAAAGAGCCATGTGGGATTTCAAGCCATAAATACCATTTTTATTTTCCTCATACAGCTCCCTACTAAATGCTTTGAGCAATGAGGCCAAAGCCAGGAAGGTGTCATAACCCTTCCCCTAAACACACATACACATCCGTCCCAAATACAGTGACTCAGATCATTCCCTGGCCCTGGGCGCCTTTCTGAATGAGAGTCTGGGGTAATCTGCTGGGAATAACACATTGCTTCAGAATTGTTGTGAATCTACATACCCACTGTGAAGAGGAGTTGATGCTTCCTTTCTCCTACACTGAGAGCCTCCCTCCTCCTGGGATAGTTGTGTTTTTCTTTTCAGGTAAAAGAGGCTTAGAGCGTGAAAGTTTGCTACAGATTTCAGGACATGTGAGCGCATAATAATATCTCTCTCTTATAATTTTCCCTGTTCATTTGTGAGTTGACCACTAATCTTCCTAATACCCAGTAAACACAGTTGCCCAGGAGGCAGGTAAGCCAAAGGGGTGAATCTGGACTGACACAAATTCTCATGGATGTGAGATTGCCTTACTGTGGTGGGCCAGTTTGTTGTTTTCTTGTCTCTGTATCTATTACAGATGTTATCTTCCAGATCCTCCTTTCCTTAGAGCCACAACTTCTTTAACTTCCAGGTTGGAAGACTTCACGTAGAATTGGAATTGTCACTGTGGTAGAATCAGTCGCTGGTGTGCAAAGGTTGGAAAATGTTAGAACTTTATTTCCCCGAGTCCCTTGCGGTTAGGAATTTGTTGTGGTTGAGGCATCTGCACCTGGTTGAGACTTGGATATGAGAGCCCAGCCATATGTGGAAAGAGGGAGGGTGATGAGATGTGCGTTTGCTTGTGCAGACTGTGCCATGGTTGTGTGGTTCTGGAGCAGCCAGCTATGGCGATGGCTCCTCATTCAGCAGGCAGCTTCCTGAGCCAGCAGCTCCTTGGCGGCCCAGCTCTGTAGCATGGGTTTGGAAGTCATTCCTGGAGTCAATCCAGAGTCACTTCCTTTAACTTATCAACTCCCCTCCTTCATTAATACTCTTGTAATAAACCCCTTTGTAAACTTGCTGATACAATGCTTCAGCTGCAAAGCTATCATTTGTTTTACATTGTTCATTTGTTGACGGAGATAAAATCGTTGGAATGTTTTCCTTGACTTTGATTTTATTACGGATTTCTTTCTACCAAGCTAGTTTTGAACTATCCTGTTCTCTTTGCATGCTTTTCCTTGTGACTATCAATAACCTTATATTGCACTTTTTCCCAGAGTGAGATGGAAGTTTTTCCCAGAGTTATATTGACGTGTCCAATCATAAAAGTAAATATTCTAGGCCTGGTGCGGTGGCTCACGCCTGTAATCTCAGCACTTTGGGAGGCTGAGGCGGGTGGATCACAAGGTCAGGAGATCGAGACCATCCTGGCTAACACAGTGAAACCACGTCTCTACTAAAAATACAAAAAATTAGCTGGGCATGGTGGCGGGCGCCTGTATTTCCAGCTACTCGGGAGGCTGAGGCAGGAGAATGGTGTGAACCCGGGAAGGCGGAGTTTGCAGTGAGCCGAGATCACACCACTGCACTCCAGCCTGGGAAACAGAGAGCAGGACTCCGTCTCCAAAAAAAAAAAAAAAAAAAGTAAATATTCCATCTTCTTTGACCTATTTAATTTACTTGGAACAATGCTATGTGCCAATTCATGGAAGTCATGTATCACTTCTCCATAAAAGCATACAGTACTGTGTTATTCATAAGCATATAGCATGTGATGCACATATACCCTGTGCCTAACAGGCACAAAAAAAGGGCTAGGAGAAACATTTTGCATTGTCTATCAAGACATTAGTACTGACACTTCATTTTCAAAAAAAATGCACTGCCCCATATGTAAGTCATGCCTACCGTATTTCCTGACATCTGAGAGTTGACTTAATAGATGCTAATGTGATGTTATTACCAAGGTGTCAAGTTACACCCTCTCCTCGATTGGTTCTCCTAGTTCTGCCTTAGGTTTGCTGACACTTTGCTATGAAAAACGATTCAGACATTGCAGGCATGCAAAGTCCTGGCTAGAAAAGCACTGATTTAACTGGGCAAAACTGTGCCCAGTAATTATAAACTTAGAACATATTCCTGTAGAGCCTTCTCCCAATCCTTCAAATAGACACAGCTACAAGGGCAGAACAATTAGAGAAGTCAGACTCCAATCCTGAATGAAGAGTGTTTTCTCATTTTGCCAGTTCTGTGAGAAGAGCTCTGCTGTGTGCTGGCAAGCTGCCTCTTGGGGAACAAGCATTTCTGAGGGAGCAACAAACATTCTGTCTCAAATTCGGAACTAAAAAAGAACTTTATTTATTGAGGGCAAGGGGATGCAAACAATACAAAAATCAAAAGCTTATCTGGTATTTAACTTTCCTTTCTCAGCTTGTCAAATGGGAGTTAGATTTTATTTTTACATTTGCTAAGGGTCCTGATCTGCTCATGAAATCCTTCTATGGGGGAAGCTGTGGGGCAGATTCCTCAAGTGACCCTTTGGGACAACTCTTATCAGGGAGGAGGGAATTGCTCGTTTCTGCCTACTTCTTTCCCTTCTGCTTCATGTGTACTACAAAATAGTCATTGCATGCAATGGTGAGGCCCGCAATTAGGGAAAAGAAGCTCTGGAAGCCCACTTTGCCATCTCTGCACTGGTCCAGGTCCTTCATTATTTTGTCCACGGCCAGAGGGTCTTTTTGATTCTGAAAAACAGAGAACAAAGGCAAGAAATATCGAAGGTTGCAATGATGAGCTTATTTGATTTGTACTGCTGAGAACTGTGTACATACCTCCCAATTACTTGAGCTCTTGTTTTAGGTCATAAGCAACCTTTGGAGGTCATTTAAATGTATTTTTCTTTTTTTGCCTTGAGGGAGCATTTCAGAAATTTCATAGTTAGATTCTGCCTAAGAACCACCCTAAGTTCCTCATTTTGTGGTTTAAACTTACATTCTCTTATTAAAATTTTATTCCCAATAGCATGGTCAAATCCCTTGCAAAGGAAACTCCTTATGAAAAGGTATTTTGGATTTAGGGAGTAAGTTTTCGATCACTGTCCTATGGATTTTAAAGAAGTGCTAATGATGCCATGGATTGTTTTAGGTTTGGAGAAGACAGCTCTCATTCTTCTTGGCACTGCTGAGGCCAAGCTAGTGTGGCTTCATATTGTATTAGCCACGTCATGCTGAGTGAACCACTTAGTGGGCCTTTGTGTATCAACGATGAATTGAGGAGGTTGGACTATAATGTTTCTAGAATCCTTCCATTCTTTGAATTGGTAAGTCTATGCCATCCTATACTCTTCACCGGACGTTGCACATCGGACCAGTTTCAAAAGGAGTATGTGTGATGAAGTCTTAAACTCCCCATGGCTCTCAGTGCCTAGTAAGAATGTGTGGGACAGAGATAGGAAGGCAAGATCCCCTTTGATTTTATCTGGCTTCCATGGTGATTGGCTTTTGGCTTCATCACTCGTTTTTGTAGTGATGCTGGTCAGAAGTGGTAAGCTGTGGTTTTTCCTGTAGGGTCCATGCCATCAACCAGAGAGAGAAATATGGCCTGTTTAGGTTGTTAAAGGGCTCAGGTAAAGTATTTATGAATTCTGATGACTATATTCATGAGTGAGAGAAATGATACACAGTGTTTCAAGAGTGCACTAGATGTTTCTAAATAGCACTCGGAAATTCCTAAAAGTATAGCAGCAGCATTTCCCACATAAGCACTGCAAACTCCTACTCTAGCTAAACCTGCTCTATGCAGCTCTTGGTGGGTTTCGGCTAATTCTGGCTTCACCCTCAGCTTCCTGGCTGTGGTCAGAATGAGTGCAATCTGGATGACATAAGGGGTCTACTTTAGAAACAAAACGCTCTGTTAATGCAGTGAGTGTAGGTGTTTCCGGAATTATGACTCTGTGCCTGGAATAAATCACCCTGCCATGTTTAGTGCTCCACACTACATATACCCTTTATGTGTCTCATGCCACAAAACCTTTAGGAAGAAAGGGTCTGTGTCTTATGTGATACTCACTCGGGCTTCTAACAACATTCTTAACAAGTGTTTAGCATACTGAGAATGCCTTTGTCCATAGGACGGGCAGGCTTACAATGAGCACATTTTGTCCTTGCGTCTTAAATGCTTGTCTTGACTGATCATAGAAAGTGAAAGTGACCTTGCAGATAATTATGTCCAGCCTTCTCCAATTTTACAGGGGAGAAACTGAAGACTAGAGAGCTGAAGCAACCTGCCCGTTGTTAGTTAAGGCAGAGCCAGATCTTCTAACTCCTGGTCTGGGGCTACATCACAGGACTCTACAAAAGCAGAGGACCTGCATATTCCAGCTCATTCTGGGATAGCATTAGGTAATAACTCTCTGAGAGAGTAGTTAGGCTATTTATATCTGCTTATTTAACTGATATTGATGCTATGTGAATTATAGTATACTAAAAAGCCTCGTGTTTATTGATTGTAGGAGTCAGGGGCTTGACTAATGTGCTATTTACGAGGCAGATGACAAGAGGCAGGACCCAACCTTTTACCGTATCTCCTCTCACCCTTTAGAGGTTAATGCATTACTCAACACCAAGCACATAAACAATCCTTTCAGGTGACTACAATTTTGGTAGGGAAAGAAGGGCTTGCATTTCAGCCTACTATTTTGTCATGCAGTGTTTCACCTTCAGTTGAATTCAACAGCCATCTCTCAAGAACCTGGAACATAAAAGGACAACTGTGCCTTGTGGCTCCATGTCCTGAGTCATGTATCTGAGCTAATGGCGGAGTCCTCTTCTCGGTCTTCATGCATCTCTCAGTCTGTCAAAGGTGAGACATAAACTCAAACTGCTCCTGTGCTGTCAGAGCATTATTACGTGAAAAGCAGTTATTTCTGGAGTGATATGTGCCTCTTATTCAGTAGATGATTGACACTGCTCCTTTCAGTATTAGAAAAAGAAAAAACAATCCCTTTATCTGAAGAGATTTAAGAAGTGAGATTCAAGTTGCTCAAAATGGAATGTGACCAGGATGTGGCATCTCCACCACCAGGTTTTTGGACCTGAAGATAGCCATTTTCTGGTTGACTACTCTTTTGTGAAAAGCTTTCTTTCTCCCAACTTTGTCCCCAACATCATCACAACAGACACAGATAACCAGATGGGATTTTCCAACAAACAGCTCGCATCGTAGTTATTTGTATGTAGTCTTATTTCACCTGCAGACTGTAAGCTCCTTGAAGGTTGGCGCTGTGTCTTCATTACTTTCTATTTCCTCAACAGTATCTTACAAATAGCAGGTACACAATATTATTTAATAAATGAATGAATGACCTCATTCATTCATTCCTTCCTTCAGGTGACTACATTCATTCTTTCACCAGTGGTGACCTCCACAGGGAAGGGATGGAAACAAGAAGGAAAAGGAACCAAGGCCTAGAAGCACTGACTTTTATGTCTGGTTCTTTGTAAGCCTTTCAACACTTACTTCCAAAAATCCAGGGAACTCCTTTTCCATGAGTACTCTCAGGTCCTCCTTTGTTAAGTAGCCTTTATCCCCCGCGAATTTGTGAAATGTAAACATCATGGTTTCCATGGCGTGCTCCATTTGAGACGGCATTTTGGTGTGGTCTGTTGAAGCCTATTAAAGGATGTAAAGAAACAGGGTCTACATTAACTTCTTTTGGCAGACTTTATGAATGAATTTATTTTTTTTTAAATTGAAAGATAATATTGTATGTATTTAACGTGTACAACATGATGTTTTGAGGTATATATACATTGTGGGATGACTGAATCTAGCTAATTAACATATGCATTACCTCACATAGTTAGCACTTTTGTGGTGAGAACACTTAGCCACTCTTAACTATTTGTCAAGAATACAATACATTGTTATTAACTACAGTCACATTGTTGTACAGTAGATCTCTTAAACTTATTCCTCCTAACTGAAATTTTGTATCTTTTGACTAACATTGCCTCAACATCACTCCAGTGCAATCACCCCAGCCCACTCTATTCTTCAGTTCTATGAAATTCAGTGTTTAAGATTCCACATGAGTGAGATCATCTGGTAATTGTCTTTCTGTGCTTGGCTTATTTCACTAAGCATAATGTCCTCCAGGTTCATCTAGGTGGGTTTACATTAACTTTTAAGCCATATGTATTGCCAACCTTTTTAGGATAATTGGAATGATGGAGATGAGATCATTCATCTGATCCTCTCCAGCTTTAAAATTCAGTGAATGAATCTAAGAGCCAGACCACCCCAGTCTGGGTCTCTTGTTGGTAGAAATAGACACCTCAGGTACTAGTGCTGTAAATAAAGGGGTTTATCTAACTCCAGCTAATTTGCATAAATAACCTAATAAAGAACAGAAACTCTAATCATTTAGAAAAGCATGATCAGTGTTCCTCTTTTTTTTTTTTTTTGAGATGGAGTTTCGCTCTTGTTGCCCAGGCTGGAGTGCAGTGGTGTGATCTCGGCTCACTGCAACCTCCGCCTCCCAGGTTCAAGCGATTCTTCTGCCTCAGCCTCCCGGGTAGCTGGGATTACAGGCACCCGCCACTACGCCTGGCTAATTTTTTGTATTTTTAGTAGAGATGGGGTTTTGCCATGTTGGGCAGGCTGGTCTCAAACTCTGACCTCAGGTGATCTGCCCACCTCGGCCTCCCAAAGTGCTGGGATTACAGGCGTGAGCCATTGCGCCCAGCCCAGTGTTCCTCTTTTTACTGACAAAGCACCTACTGAAAGAACAGATAGTTCATAATTTCTCTTGGCACTAGTAAATGGGATTCTTAGATATGGCTGATACTAACAATACACACAGTCAAGCCTGGTGAATATGAAAACTTCAACCTTCTAAGCTTAACGTGGTAACTTGGTTCAGTCTGATTCTAGGGTTTAGAAATCTGCTTACAAATGAATTTATCTGCTGGGTATATATGTATTCTTTACTAAAGTTCTGAACTTGTTATTTATTGCAATAAAGACAGCTGCATCTCTGGCAGTAAAATGCAGTTGATCTACCCAAATAAAAAAACTACTCAAAGTCCATTGTCTAGTTCACTTGAGAAGCAACAAGTAATACTATAACCTAACTCATTTGAGGGTCTTCTATGTTTTTAGTGACACTAGACAGATGCGCTGCTCTCACAGTCTGGGGTACACTGGGAGAGCAAGAGCTTTCATCATGAAGCATTTATAAGAAAGGAAAGGAAACATGTCAGATCATTACATTCAGGTATAATGAACTAGGGGTATATGTCTCATCAAGACCCAGTATGTGGTACTTAATAGAACCTCAGTGAATTTTGGCTTAATTGGAAGGAATCATTTGGCCAGAACAGATAAACTTTGGCTAATATAATCTAAAATCACTACTGGATAAGAAACAGGTGAACACAAATGGAGACTGTAATATAGCACTAAAAAATAAAAATAAATAAATCACAAGAATACGCTTTGAGTTTAGATTGAAGGGCTGGCAAATTCCTCTGCTGAAGAACTCTAACAGGAACCTGAGACATAATTTGGTCTGGTTCCTGTCTCTGAGAGATGCCTATTCAACACTGATTCTCAAATGCTTTCTTTTACAGAGGAGAAGGTGGAGTTGGTAAACATGAGGATTGAGCAATTAACACTTAAGAATTGTAAATTCTACCCATTAATCTCCAGAAAAGTATGGGAACCAGCAGGCCAAAGAATGCTATAAATCAAAATCTGGCATGAGTCATCTGAAAGGCAGTTAGTTATCTTGGAGAGAGCTGCAAATTAATGCTTCAGGGTCTGCTGTGAGATGAATTCCAGGGGAACCACACCCTTTTCCTTCTCTTCTGACACAGCTCAGATCTGGCTCATCCCCCATCCCTCATATGGGCTTCAGATGGCAGTGGGCTTACAGAGAGTCTGCCTTGCCTAGATTGGTACTCCAAGTCCAGCAATTTAAGAGAACTGAACTGGGCGAGTCACCTCTGGGAGAAGGACATGGGATCTTACCCCAGTTCTTAAATAACTCAGGAAAGGAGTCAGACACCACAGAGGTTTAAAAATAACTGTGCTCAAGTTCAGAGCAGCAGAGCACTTCAGGATCAATTCCCAAAGATCCCAGAAATTGGAACTGGGTGGGGTACCTAGTTTACCTTTTTCAGATGACAGGGCAGAAGGAAAGTGCAGAATTAAGAAAGGGAATGCAGCAGGGTAAGGACCTCTAAATTTTAAAAAGGCGAATTTAGGAGCTCCTAAGAAATACAAGTTGTCAGTCGAGGAAATCCTGGCCAGCCTTGAGTATCTTCTTCAAGAGAGCAAGTGAGTGCTCAGGTCTGAAGTCACTCAGTCCCATGTCTCTCTTGCCCACAGCCATTACGAAGTGATGGAGCTTCCCTCTCTGAAGTTACATCCTTCTCCCACTGGGTCCTCCCCTCCCCTCCTCCCCCAGCGGTTTTATTCAGTGGATGGATTATGAATACTGCAGCCAGCTGACTCCCTATGTGTCCAGTAGACCTTCTGCAATAAGGATGCAGAGCAGGGGCTAGCCAGGAGGTGAAAATAGCATTGAAAACTAGGGGGGAAGCCTTTGTCTCCTCAGTAACCAGTGCCCCAAAGGGCACTGACCAGGGCCACAGCAAGGAACTCTGTTTTGAAGGAGCTGCACACTGGCTTTAAAATAAGACAAAGTAAAGGGGGAAATGTGATTAAAACTGTTCTCTTGGCTAGAGGATGAATCATGACTGCAGCCAACAGTTACCCGATTGAGTCAGCCCTGCCTGGCCCTCCGTTCTTGGGTAGGGCTTGCCTGGGCAGGGCTGTCTGCAACACTGACTGTTAGCCGCTAAAACTGAAGCTCTTCAGGGACTTCAATCTGGCATTTCCACCCTCACCTAGCCACCCTGCAAGCTCTATTCCTGGGCAGATGTGGGCTTCCTGCATCCTGGTTAGACACACTTTGACAGGAGGGCTCGGGGCGGGGGTTGAGAGGCAGCAGTGTCCTTTCTATTCCCAATAACTTACTCTTGTACCTGAAACATTCAATTCCATTTAATTGTTTACTCGTCTGACTGAGATTTAAGCTTCTCTTGATCAAGAACTACAAATTATTCTGCTTTTATTCATGGAGCACTATATAACTGTTATGTGCATAAATGAACCACACGATCCCTTGGGCAGTAGCTGAGGTACAGGTGTCATTACCCAGGACTAGGCTGAAAGCCTTGTAGCTCAGAGCTCAGGAGGACAATGTGAGAGCTGGGAAGGGCCAGGAAAGGGGCCCCAAAAGTGTTCAACTATGAACGGAACAGCAGAGTACACAGGAGTGCACATTCCATATGCAAAAGGAAAAATACGTGTCCTGCTAAACAGGTCTAGTCAGAATGACATGACTGTGCTCCTTCTCTTCTAACACTTGCTGTTTTCTCATGTTTCATTCATCCTGTCTTCTACTTTATGCTTTTCTAGTGCTGCTGTCTTACTGCTCCACAGGATATAACAGCCTTGCTGTCCACTCACCTTTTATTGAATTATTTTATTCTGATGCCTATACATGCCCTCTACACGTTTGCCTGAGCAACAGGTCTTAAGAAGGGAGGCTGAGACATCTTTTTCTGCATAGTTTTCTCTACAGAAAACAATTCGGGACTCCACAAATGTAGTTACCATAGGAGGAATTCAATTTTCCATTTTTAGGTTCTCCTACCCTGAGCACCTACTGTGAATGTCCCAGACATGGTGTTAGGCATGAGGGTGTTCACACACACATGCACCCACGCACACACACAAAGCTCTCCATGGTGCTTGCCTTTGAGGAGTTCACCAGCTAACGGAATATTATTAAAGCATTTGGCCTGAATTCTAGTTATTTGTGTTTCTGTTTTTTTCCTCACTAGGTTGCAGGTTTTCTGAGCAGGGTCCCAGTAGCCAGTGCCCCAGCCCTCATAGAGCCTGCTCAATGAATTGTTAAGAAATTGATAATAATGTATTTTGGTTTTCCTGGGAGTAGCAGGGAAGCAGGAGTCCTCCTCAGAAAAGTATCTGCTCCTGAACAATCTCAAATGTTTGCTTTGGACCTATGCCCAGATCCTGGCTGCAGTTTCAAAGAGGACACTTCTGAAGAGTGAGTCGGACTCACTCTTTGCTCCTCTGTATCTTGTCCATACCCTAGTTTTCTTACAGCCCACCCAGAAAATAAACGGCAGAGCATCAGTAAAAACAAACATCTGTTATTTAAAATGTTTGAGGTTTCCTTCCTTTCGCTTTGGAAATTTTGGATTTTTAAAAATTGAACCCAGAAGGCATTCCTGAATTTGATCTCTGAAGGAAATTCAGAAAAAATGAGTTGAAGCAATGGATCTGGATCCAGTCTGTCTCTCTCACCTCTCACCAAATAAAACTTGCCCACTAAAGAACTGGGCAGCAAAGGAAAGTTTCAGATGCAATTCAATAAGAAGAAAGATCTTGGAAGAAACCTCCTCCAATCTAACCGCGTACATCAATTTTTCCTTAAAGAATGCTCAGGCATCATCTTGATCAGCCAACATAGCTATTGTCACAACTGCTGTTAAATCCTTTGGTAGGATGGGTGGTACATATTTAGTAAAGGGATAGAAAGTGCTGAAAATTGTTTAAAAGAAGTAAATTCTCTTTTTGCTTTTGATGTGAGATTCCTAAATTTGTTGAGTCCCCAGAAAAATGAGAAACTTAAGATGCTAAAATTTTAGTCCAGCTTTCTCAGCACTTTGAGTGCTAATTTATACATTATAACCCTGAAAGAATTCCATTGTTTCTCTCAACTTTACGCTTTAAAAGACTGGACTGTGTCCAAGGGTATACTAAGTGGGTTGTGCTCTACAAAAGTCACATTTTTTGAACTGTCAGTAGAAAGCAGGGAGGCACACAGTCTCAGCTCCACCCAGCTCAGGCCTGACCTCACTGGAGTGGCTGCTTAGGAGGCTGGCCAGAGGCCAGCACACTAGAGGAAAGGGGCCTATCTGATATGCCTGAGAAAAGCTAGGAAGAGCATCACCTAGAAAGCAGGGTGAGACCCAAAAATTGCTTCATGCCCAGTAGACCAAAAAACTAGAAGAACCGATATAAGAAACTCCAAATAGTGGATCAAGGGCCACAGTGAAGAAACTACCCTCTGGCTGTGAAGGAACAAATACACCATTTGCAAGGGATGATTAAACAGAAACTGGATAGGAATCTGTGGGGGCAGGGCCGATTAAGAAACTTCCAATAAGTTATATGAACTCATTCCCACTCCAGCCCCTGGCATTATCTTTTGTAATTTGCTGCAACATGTTGGAGGCAAAGATCACTGACTGGGTGTTTCCATGAGCCTGGCCTCACCTAAAACACACAACATAAAACTTCACTACTGGAGACTGAAACTCAAGCTTCTGGGGAAAAATACCCGCAACAACAGCAAACCTCTTAACGGGAAAGGCTATCTCCCAAGTAAGGCTGAGGCAGGCTGCCAGGCGCATACTGGCCGATAACGAAAAGCGGTCTCGCCAAGGCCCTACAGATCTAATGATCTGCCCTCACCCGCAATTCAGTCAAGAAACCTCTCCTGCACACTGGCGGCCAGTCCAGGTGTGACTCACTTCCTCTTGGAAAATGCCCTCTGAGATGGCACAGTTCTCCTTTTCCTTCAGGGAGTGTTCTGTCCAAATCATCCACCGAGAGTATCTGCAACCGGCCACACCCACATGGTCTCACAGCTGAGTCACAGGCCTCAGACCACTAGGAGAATCCTGGAGCCCTTTGTGCTAACCACGCCCTGCAGAAGCTCTCGCAGGGACAGAACCGGGTGGGGGCGGAAGGCGGGGTGGGCTTAATGAATCCCAGAATCTGGCTTAGGGCTCCCCTGTGATGGCCTGGCTTGGAGCGCTCTGCATTCCACCCCCAACCAACAAGGCAGAACTCCTGGTTTCACTTAGGCAGAGCTGGACCAAGGCTGGACAGCGCAGCAGTGTCCACGGCTAGGGGCAGCGCCATTCCTTCGGCCAAAGCACAGGTGGTGAACCAAGTACCAATGGCACGTCTGTCTGTCTCACTGCGCCGGGCCAAATTAGTCTATGATTGGAAGATCCTTCATCAAGCCTGCTCTTCCTCCATCTCTTTCTGGTTCCACTTATTAAGATAGCAGGGGAATCCTTTCAGCAGAGAAACCACGTCACACAGGGCCCTCTCCCACACATCCCAGCCAAACTGCTTTAGAAAGAAACAAGTGAACCTCCCGCCCTTGGCAGGAAGACCCTTCCCGTCGAGCAGACAACAGGAAGCCCCAACCTGAAACGCCTGTTTGGCCGAGGGACTAAGGGGTACGGAAGGGACGCCCCCAGCTGCCTACTTGTCCTACCCGCGCCTGGCTGGGCCGTCCAGCCGGGACGACGTACGAACATGCAGACCCGGCCTGCGGGCGGAACCTACCAAGAAACACGCCAGCCAGGGCAGGGGCGTGCAGAAGGGGTTCGGTAACCCGAGAGACGAGTGGGAAAGCAGGAAAGGTGGGAGTAAAGCAAACATAAAGGGAGGAGGGAAGAGGTTCAGGGGCTCCAACACCACGGTCCCCTCCTAAAGAACAAGTGTCCCCTCCTCCAGTCCGCGTGGGTCTGGGGGTGGCCGCGCCCGGGCCGGGAAGGGGCGCTGCTGGCCTCGTCTGGGTGTGGCCCGGAGCACTAAGCAGTGGATTCCCCACCAGCCGCTCCCCACTCAGCTCCGCGGTGCCCAGGACGCCCCGCGAAGCCGGGTGCGGGGGTTTCCCCGGGCAGCAGGTCCGGAGCTGGGGACTACTCAGGAGGGGCGCGTGGGCCGCGCGGAGCTCACCTTGGCCGAGGCGCGGCGGACGCTGGGCGAGCTGGACGCGGGGCGGCGAGGCGAGCGCGGAGGGCTGTGCGCCTTCCTTAGTACGTGCGGCGGGTGGGGAGAGGGAGGCGGCGCGGGAGCGGGTGGAGCCTGGCGGGCGCTCGGCAGGGCACTCCCCAGCCCTGTCTCCTCCCCCTCTTCCTGCCCCCTACTCCCCCAACCCCGGGCGCGCGGCCCACGCCCTGCCCTCGCTACCGGACCAGCCTAGCTGAGGCCTCGCCCGCCCCAGACAGAGCGTTCTTATAAACTTCTCTTCAGTAGAAACGGTCCTGCTCTCGAATATTTCAGGGCATCCCCACCCTGGGCCTGCCCTTCCTCTCGGGTTTGGTTTTAGAAAGTGTAGAAATCAAAGAACCCGGCAGTCCTGCGGGTGGGGCACGCTGGCGCAGAACCAGAGGTAACCGGCTCTGTGGGCACCTACGAGTCTAGGACTTACTTGCTGGATGACCCCGCAGGGAGTTGCACGTGGAGTCCTATCAACCTCAGAGGCACTATCAGATTAGCCCTAGGAGGTCCGTCCGGGGGTCTTGGCGGCCTGCACCCGTGGCGGGGCGGCACCTCCCCAGAAGCCGGGCTCCCCGCCCCGCCGGCCCGCGAGGTGCCGCAGGGAGGGTGCGGTTTGGCTTGTCAGCACCCAGAGCGTCACAAACCCTTTGTTGAACAGGGGATTTACCCCTCTTGTGGCTTCACTTGATCAATAGTTCAGTTTCAGTGTGGCTAATAGTGTTAAAAACTGGCCGGGCGCGGTGGCTCACGCCTGTAATCCCAGCACTTTGGGAGGCCGAGGCGGGCGGATCACCTCAGGTCAGGAGTTCAAGACCAGCCTGGCCAACATGGTGAAACCTTGTCTCTACTGATAAAAAAATTAGCCGAGAGTGATGGTGCATGCCTGTAGTCCCAGCTACTCGGGAGGCTGAGGCAGGAGAATCGCTTGAACCTGGGAGGCAGAGGTTGCAGTGAGCCGAGATCGCACCACGGCACTCCAGCCTGGGCGACAGAGTGAGACTCTGTCTCAAAAAAAAGTTAAAAACTAAGTTTCCAAGGCGTTATGCTGTGGTCCTTAAAAGTCCTT